TTTAGTCCTAGGTCCATGATCCACCTTGAGTTGGTTTTTGTGTATGGAGTGAGGTGTGGGTCTTGCTTGAGTCTTTTGCAGATATTTTTCCAATTTGGAAGCAAGGATTCTGAAGCTTCGTCTGACATACATTGGACATGTTTCAAGTTGAGATCAATCCTTGGAGAGGGACATCATGTTTGGGAGGGTGGAGGGACAGCACAGTAGAGGAAGACCCTCAATGAGATGGGTTAATTCAGTGACTGGGGTAATGGGGGTGGGTGTGTCAGAGACTAAAATTGGGCTGTTGTACATAGGGTTGCTATGAGTTTCAAGTAACTTGATGGCACATAACAACAACTAGTTACTAACTATCATACTGAGCTCTGGTGACTTAGAAGTAGGGAATCATGCTGCCAACCCAAAGCTGCATGGTTTGAATCCACCAGCTGCTCCACAGGTGTGTAGTGGGGAAATATGGGTGTCTCATCCTGTGCAGTTTACAGCTCAGAAAACCAACAATTATATTTAATTATGGATGTTTAAGGTTTCTCAGAGACAAATGCTGTTCCATTTCTTCACTCAAATAGCCTTGACTCTCAAGAGCCATAAGATCATTTTTTAAACTCCCTGAAATCCTAGGCAGAGCATGTTCTTCATGGCAGTTTTCTGTTACGGTTGTTGCTTTAGTCTCTCCCACTTCCATTTTTTTTTGCCGTTGGATTCCTTGGTATCATTCCTTCTTTGAAAATGTAGATGTCCCCTGCATTATAAAACCACAAATTATAAGCATATCTAAGGCTGCCCTTGTCGTGTCACTGAAAGGGAAGAGAGAACGTGAACATGAAGAAATGTGCAGTGTGCCAGAAATCCAATCCAGCTGATCTCAAACTCCGGTAAGCCCCTTATCAGAGGTGCTGAAGTTAACTTGGTCCCATTTAATACAACTATGACAGCTAAGGGTATATCTTCACTGTACAGAAGTTATCAACAAGAAAAAGGCCCTGTGTTGGCTTTTACAATTTCATTTTTACTTTCTTATTGCTTCCCAGTGCTGGACTGATTTGCCATACTTGCTGTCTCTTCTTAGCAAGCTTTTCACATGGTAGCAATAAAGATCACTCGGTCTGTCCTTCTGGAGTATCTGCAAGAAACACTCCTACTATTATCTGGGAAGTTAAGAGATCCCCTAACCAACTCCAGAAATCCAGAATCAGCACAGCTGTGCTCATTTTCCTAGTCAGCTCCAAGAGAAAATTAGTCATGTTAGGAAGCGTTTTCTTACAGAGGAATATTATTAACCAGATAGCTGACCATTTCTTTAAATATAGAATGAAATACAGAATGAAATGCTTGGGCAGAGTTGGTAGAAGGGAAGGTGACAATCAAGTGGGATCCGCCCCCCTCCATAATCATCAGCACAGATTAGGCTGAAATTACTAATTTCAGAAAAAACATTGTGGTAATCTCTTGGGGGACTAATATAGGAATATTAGGTAAAACCTATCTAATAAAGGTTATGAACCGATATAGGAAGGAGATTAGATATAACGTAAGATGGATTCTAATACTGTGGCTCATTGGTGTGGTGACCCAGGAGTCTGTTAAAAGTTTGGAATTTAAGGGGCTTTCCCCAACTAGGATTCAGAACAAACCCACTATCTGCCTATGTTAGTACATGCTTTAAAGACACATTGTCAAGCAGTTAGAGATTAAAACAGCAACACATGATGCATTCATTACCAGTCAGACTTTTTCCTGACAAAAACCACTGTTCAAAAACCTTCTAACATAGCATGCCATCTCTTACTCTAACATTACATTTGCTTCAAAAGATCCTAAGGCATTGTCTTTCTTGTTCTCTCCAGTGACAGTCACAAAAGGACTGTTCTCACATCGCAGACCCTTCCATGCAGCAGTCCCCCACTTGGTGCACTGGTAA